TTCACCTGGTTTACCAAAAAAATTCAATTGAACACCAGAGTGGCTCCTTGTCCATATTCTCTGATTTCTTGTAACAAAAATCTACCAAATACAAATGCCACTATCAGTTTAAACCAAAGAGAAAATGACAAATAAAAGAATAATAATAAAAAAAAAAGCTATCACTGTACCCTTGGTGGAGAACCTCCCCCATTGTTCCCAACATCATTCTCTCCCCCATGCTTCTAGTTCTCCCACTTTTCTGATGGATCTAATCAGATTTGACGCATACTCATCATGGGAGAAGATCCAAAGCCGGCGGTGATCTTTTCCCTTTGAGTCTAGGCTGGCACTCTCAGTGTCTCTCCTTCACTTGCTCACCATCTCAACAAGGAAAGAGAACGGTGGAATAGAGAACAATTGCGCTAGAAGTGTCTGGCTGAGGAAGAAGAAGAGGGTTAGGGAAGGCTGGAGTGAGCGGCGGTGAGAAGAAGGTGATTGGTTGTGGTTGAAGAAGGGCTCTCCTATGCGGGAGAGGAAAGGGAAAACAACCAAAATGCTGGCTGAGTTTGTTCCATTCGACCCATCAGAGATTCAATTTTGACCAAACTCTGAATTCCTGCTCACCTATTAGCCTTTGTGCAATTCCCGATTCCAAAGGCAAGCATGAAAAGGGAAATAATCAAATAATATAAGTGAACAAAGCAGCAATATTTTGAACTTAAAAACACAAAAAACCAAACTCAAGATACTAAATTGGAATAAAACCTGAGGGTAACAGAGGAAAATCACTTAGGGTTAAAAGACTTAAACTTTAAATACCAATTTCACCCCTTGTTAGAAATAGAGAGAAGAGCAAGGTTCAAGGATTAAAAAAGAAACTAAATAAATATTTTTGTAAAAAGATTAAAAGGTCAAAGTCTTAGTAAGAAAGGGAGAAAGAATAGAAGGCAAAATAGGTAAAAAAAACTATGAGCGGATAGAGTTTCATAGAGAAGTGAGAGAAAGGAAGAGGAAGGGAGTGATGAGAGAGATCGGAAGAGGCTAGGACTCATCTTTATTATTTCTAGAGATGATGTCCCGCATTGCAGGGTGTGTTGTTTGATCTATCTTAGGAGGGGTCAAAGAAGGCTCTATTAATGAGAAATATCTCTATACATATAAATTATTATGTTTGAAAGTTTATTTTTGATAAATGGAATATATGCTTCAAAAGATAAAAAAATTACATAAGTGATTTTTGAGAAGTCAAATCCATCTAGTTTAAAATACAGATCTTAACATTGTAAGAACAAATACTTACAGAGAAATAAAATTGATATTGTATTAGCAGAGGAGCACTAAATTAGACACCTGAAGCTGTCCGACAATTACTTGATCTATGGATCTCATCAACCACATATCAAGAATAAGTGCAAGATTTACTACATAGTGAAGTTGGGGAATTTGTCCATGATATGCATAATAATTGATAATTAAACAAATAGAATCAGACCAGGTAAAAGAAAAAGATGATTACCAAATTTTTTCCTTTCACACCAAGGAAAAACAGATAATGATATACCAAGAAATTAAACTGGAAAACTTCCAAGAAATATTATCATCCATACCAGATCATTTTGCAAGTTTCTCTGCTTCCTCCTGTTCTTTCTTCAGCTTTCTCTCCGTCGCTATGTTTCTCTTCTTCTGGTACAGAAGCACAGATTTCTCATCAGCCATTGCGTTTTTCAATATATATGAATCTTTAGCCATTAAATGGCAATATGAATTAATGAACCTATTAAACATCTAAGACCAAATAAAGAAAAAGGGATAAAGCATTAGAAATAGACTAAAAAGCCACCTCATAGCTTGTGTCAAACACCTTTGAAAAATTTGCACTAATTCTTCACAAAACCTCATATTGCCAATAACTATTGATGTGAAAAATCTGAAATGTGATTTATTTGCTACTTATGCTACCTAAGAGATCCAGAGAATGGATCCCA